CGACTAATGGTTTAGACATCCTTTTAAAAGTCTCATCAATTAAGGAATGCCCGGACACCAGACTAATCCTTAATTAATGGTTTTGAAAAATGAGTTCATGGAGTCGCCACCAATGTTTTACTCAAAACACTGGAAAAAGAAAAGGTTTTTTAAAAGTCCAATAATGGTCTTGACAACCCGAATTGCGTTCGGAGGTCGGTTACATGTAGGGAAGGTATTAAGCACCCCTACAGTGCCCTTAATTGGTACCCTATGATGAAGTTAGCATTATAAATGATAATAATAAAAATATTAAATCCCCTTTTATTAATAATTATTTACATGCTTGAAATTTAAATTATACAATTAACCATAAAATGTCTACATGATTATTTTTATCATAACAATAATAATTATAGATAAGAAATAATAAAAGAGAGAAAGAAATTAACTGAAATACCTCTTGAATGAGCTCTATTGGATCTTCAAAATAGGGAGATTTTAGGTGCTTTGTGGCAACCTTTTGCACTACAATTGCCTCACAACACTCAAGAAATACAATAGGAGAGAGAGAGAAAAAAAGAGAAATTTCAAGCTCTAAGGAGACTTGGACGAAATTTTTGGGGTCCCCTGAACTGTGCCCGAGATTTCTTATTTATAGGCATCAGACGTGGGCCGGAACGGCCCGTTCTGGATTCGAAACGGCCCGTTCTGAATCTGTACGTTATGCAGCATTTTCGTACCCTAGAACGACCCGTTTGTGCACTTAACATGTCTATGTATTGTTTGATGTTTTGAGTATAAAAATGCCTTTTATGTGAAAGTTCTTGTTGCTGGACATTGCACATTAAAAACCCTTAAGAAGACACTCAAAACTTGTCTCTTTAAGCCATTGTAAGTTGCTAAAAAGATACTCCAAGGACTTACTCATCAAACTAACAAACACAAGTGTAAAATCCAAGCAAAGGAGAACTATAAAATTAAAAAAAAAAAAAGAGTATTGGCTGGACTTTTGGACCTCAAAACCGTGACCTAGTCAAGTGTCAAAAGAAACAAAAGAAACAAAATCAAAAGAATCAAAGACAAAAGAAAAAGGGAACCTTTGCTAGACTTGTGGAGTTTTGGACCAAATTTTCATACCTTGGCACTTGGAGTTATTCTTGGACTTTTGGACAATGCTTATTGACTTTATGAGACATTTAATCAAACACATTAAGTGCATTACTTTCTTTTAAGCCTATTTGATAAATTCTATTCTAGTGCCATTCTAGGACTTACTCTTTTGTGTGCTTGCCTTTTGTTAAATTGCCGTAATTTTAGTTTTTGAGTCTTTCTTTCTACTCTTAAGTTTGTCTCAACAAATCTACTTGAGTTTAGCCTTTTTAATTGTGTCTTTTAGTTAAAGTATTTACAAGGTGTGGTGCCTAGGGTATTTATAGGAGTGAGAGGCATCTAGAGTTGCATTTAGGGTGTCAAATGCACACCAAATGAAACCCAAATTAACTCTAGATGTAACTTGGTGGCCAAGGATGGAATCTTTGGGTTTAGTTAGGCTACATCTAGGTGCATGATAAGACCATGCAACCTTTGCCCTCCACTTGGGCCTAAGCCTTTCTAACACCAAAAATAGGTCCAATATCCACAAAAATATGTCTAGGTTTTTGTTCCCACCCTAATCAAATACCTTAACCCAAAAATAAAATCCTATGATCTAAAGCACCCCATAATACAAGGGTAAAATGGGAAATACAAAAGAAAATAAATCCTATGACTAAGATACCCCAAAATACAAGGGTAAAATTGGAAATACAAGTAAAATAAATTCTAAGACTAAAATACACCAAAATACAAGGGCAAAATAGGAATAAATGTTATGCTAAGAAAATCTTAGGAGCTAAGGCCCAAAAGTGGGCTCACTCCTCCTATGGTTTTTTTTTCAACACTAACTCATTCCTTTTGCCTCCTTCAATACATCACCTCTTGGATTTCTTGGCCTTAGTGTTATTCCATCACATGGGTTTGCACAAATTGTACCTCAGTTAATTATTCTTTTTTAATTATTATTTTAAACTATAAATTTTAATAATAATAAAATAAACTATTTTTTATCACGTAAATTAAAAAAGACTTATCATACTAATTAAACAAAGACTCGCATATATATATATATATATATATATATATATATATAATTGTTGACTTGTTTAAAATTAAATATATATTGGCCTATCCAAAGTTGCTGATGCAAAATAAACTTTTAAATAGGCTAATTGCAAAATAGTTTTTTAAATAAACTAATAGGTCAAGTCAAACTAATAAAAAAAATCTAAGATAAATAATAAGTCTAGTTTAAACTTTAATTTTATAGAACAGGTATGACTTATATATTAAAAGTCTAGACTAAATTAAGATATTCTTACCCCTACTAACAATTGCTTTAAATAATATGTTAAGAATCCTTCACACAAAATACCTTAATTCTTCCATATAAACGAATTATTGGGGGTAATATTGGCTGATTTATTAATCATTTGATTAAAAATCAACTTCTCCCGCTTTATAGACAATGTTCTAAGTTCTAACTTGTAAACACACTCAAGTATAGTTATTCTTTTAATTGAAGCATGAATATGTTGTCTTAGCCAATTAATCAATGTAACATATCATAAATGTGAATCTTCACACTTGAGTTTTTCACATAACATAATATAGTTTTAGTTTTTTACAAAGTATATATACTAATTAATCTCTAACTGTAAGTATATATTGATTCTTTTGTTGCAGATTATTGAAGGAAAGGAACTTTTAAATGAAAGAACAAATACTGAACTCAAATATCTAAAGAAGGCATGTTTGCGCTCCCTTTCACACTTACACACACAAGAACATTTTCTTTGTTCAAGTCATTGCCTCAATTTTAAACTATTAAATCAGTAGTTGAATTGAATAATATTAGAATGAATGACATAATTGATTGAAAAAATCTCCTATCCTAAGCCAATGTAGAAATTTCATAATCTCTATGAAAGTCATTTGAAAACATTATTTTTTTTTTGGGTCAAGTATTCATTTGAAATCATGGTTCTTGAATTGAATGCATTTCCAGGTTATCCAATGGAATAATGTGATATAGGTGATGATGAGTGATTACCCCCTTTTTATTTTGTACTACCCCTATGAAAGGCCCTCTTAATTTTTTTGAGGGTGATATGATGTTAAGTTTTGGAACTTTCTAATCCTTTAAACTTTGGCTATTTTAAACAGAAACCCGAATCTTGGAGGCTGGCATGTCAAACTATTGTTGGAAATAAAGAAAACTCTGGCAAGGTATCTTTCAAAATAATGGTTCATTTTGCATAGCTTTTTTTTTGGTATTATATTACATGTTCTGTGTAGCGAGAGTGGTGTCACGAGTGTAAGAGTAGAGCATATACCATGATCATGATCTACTTTCTTTGGAAATTTTAAATAAAAAGTTATTTGATTTATCTTGATTGAATCTCATATTTCACAAAGTTTCAATATTTTCTGTAAATTGATCCCATTTCACTATGAATACAAGAAATTATTACCCCTGCATGAAGTGTGTTTAGATATATGGTTTGGTGATCCACTATCACCTTTGAATTCACATCAAATTGTTACAATTGATGTGAAAGTTACATACACTTGCTTTTGAAAATTCATGTTACTTTATGTTCAAAATGATTTTCAAACATGCTTGAAGTTTATGATAATACCCTCAATGATGAAGGTAATTATAGCATGGAGAATGTAAATATCCATATGCTTGTCTCTTTCCCCTTAAAGTAAACAAGATTTAATAAGTTGGGAAGATTTTTCTATTTGTATAATTTTCATAAAAAGAATAAGGCATAAAAATATTGAAACCTCAAGTTACTTTCAATATTAAAGTTTCTTTTCCTTGCCTACAATTGATCTAGAGGATTAACAATTTTTCTATGGTGGCCTTTCAGGTTGTAGTTCAAAGGATTCCTCAATGGAAGAAGTAATAGTCCATGTCAAGCAAGATCTCTTGATTCTTAAAAAGAAAAGCTCATATGATCTTCCTTGATTTATCATAAAAGCACCATTACAAATCATTGATGTTTGCATCATAAACTTATGAAAACTTTAGCTTTGGTTTTTAATGAAAACTTGTAGTTGCAAATATCTATTTCCTTTCATGTTTTGTAATGCTAACCACTTGGTTTTTGTTTTTTAGGTTAGGGTATAAACATTTGTTGTATAACAATACTATGTATGCTTTATCTAAAACAATAAGGCAATATGTAGGTTATGTGCAAAGAATGCATAAAAGAGAGAACAGAAATAGCCATTACAATTTTCATAAATGTATGAGACGTTATCTAAGAATCTTTGTTAGAGTGTAAATGGCACATTAGGATGCGCAATTTCCAAAAGATGGTGTCTTTCATAAGTAAATAGTATTTCTGTTAGTTGATAAATATAATAAAATATAATATTTTGAATACCAAAATCACATACAATATAACAATAAACTAATTACCTTAGAGACAAAAGTTTTCTATCACATAATGCAATAACAAACTTCTTGTCTTAGACAAAAGTCTCCTACTAAGAGAGTTTTTTGTCCACACAAGCACAAACTACAATCAATTTCATATTGTCTAATTACACAACCTACAATCTATATATACACATAACTTTCATCCTATAAATTCTAATAAATAAATAACCACATGTAGTTATCTTCCTTACATAATTGTCACCAAGGAGTTTTTAACTCATTTGATTTCTAAAGCGAACATTTTCTATACATAACTACCATAATTGCCTCTAACTATTGGTTCTAATCGTTTTTGCTTCCTAAAAAACCAGCTTTGTCTTTAAGGGTGAAATTAGAAAACTAATTTTGTAGTAGTAACTTTTCCTCCCAAGTTGCACTCAATGATTCCCTTATCATTTTCTTCATACACCACTTTTTAGCAATCACCTCCCCATCTTCATTTAAGGCTTCATCATTCCCTAAAATCACCATCATTGATAGCTAGAAGCACATTGATGCCGCAAGTGACACTTTTCCCCACACCTTAAAAAAGACCTTTGCATTTTTGATCAATCACTTCTTGAAATGTTAATGATGGAGCATTTTATTTTTCATGCTTACGTTATGTGTTGTCTCCCCTTGTTTATTTCCTAAAAAATGATGAATTTGAAAGAAAATTTCTATTTTGTGAATTTTCCAATGTATTCGGTCCAAAATTTTTATTTTTACCTAATCCTAGTTATTAACAATTATAGAATTGGAAACAACAAGAAGTCTCTGTCGCAACTCGAAAATTTCCGATCTCGCGACATATGGTTTAGACATCCTTTTAAAGTCTCGTTAATTAAGGAATGCCCGGACACCAGACTAATTCTTAATTAATGGTTTTGAAAATAGGTTCATGGAGTCGCCACCAATATTTTACTCAAAACATTGGAAAAAGAAAAGGTTTTTTTAAAATTCAATAATGGCCTTGATAACCAGAATTGGGTTCGAGGGTCGATTACATGTAGGGAAGGTATTAAGCACCCCTACAGCGCCCTCAATCGGTACCATATGATGAAGTTAACATGATAAGAATTAATAAATTAAATATTGAATCCCCTTTGTTATTTATTTACATATTTAAAATTTAAATTATACGACTAACCCTAAAATATCTACATGATTGCGTTTGTTATAAATGAAATGTAGAGATAAAGATGAGAAATAAAAGATATAGAAGAAGATTAATTGAAATACCTCTTGAATGAGCTCTATTGAATCTTCAAATATGGAGAAGGTGCTTTGTGGCGACCTTTCACACTACAGTGTGCCTCACAAATCTCAAGAAATACAATAGGAGGGAGAGAAAAGATAGAGATGCAACACAAATCTCAAGAAATACAATAGAGGGGAGAGATATAGAGAATTTTCGTGCTCAAAGGAGTCTTATTCGAAATTTCTCTGGTCGCCTGGAGAACTGTGCTCGAGATTTATATTTATAGGCATCAGATGTGCGCCGAAACGGCCCGTTCTGGATTCGGTACAGCCTGTTCCGGATCTGCACGTTATGTGTTAATTTGGCACCCTAGAACGACCCGTTCTGAAATGAGAACGGCTTGTTCCAAAGGACAAATTAACACTAAATTCCCTTCCTAGAACGGCATGTTCCAAACTAGGTTTGTTAGGCCTTTTTAACCTTTTGGAACGGCCCGTTCGGGTTTAGGAACGGCTCTTTCCAGACCAAGTTTTTAAGGCCCTTTGATTGGTTTGGAACGGCCCGTTCTGGTCCGGAACGGCCCGTTCCAACCTACAATTTTTAGGCCTTTTAGGAGCCTCGGAACGGCCCGTTCCAATTCAAGAACGACCCGTTCCGAACTTGGGAACGGCCCGTTTTGGGCCACTAAAAATAGTTGATTTGGGCTTTTAGGCCCTCTGATGTCCTATCTTGTTGTTTGTATGCCCCCGGACGAAATTGGGTGTCTATAGTCTCCAATCTCTTCTCCTTTACGACTCTTCAATGGCCTCATTATAGCACTAAAATTACACATAAAAGCATGCAAATATATATATATATATATATATATATATATAT